TTTTTTTTTTTTTTTTTTTTTTTTTTACAAAAAAAAAAGAAATCTTTTTATGTTTTATACCTCAGAATGTGTTTTAAATGACGCTGTTTATAGTTATCATAATATTTAAGATATTCGCAAGTAAACTAAATTATAAAGATGGCTTCTAAGTTTATTTTTAAACCAGTCACCGAGCTGGAAGTGGGGGGGGAAAGGGGTCCTGGCCGCAGGACTTTTAAAAGGCAGTTTAAGATAACTACATAGTCATGATGGCAGCTTGTTTCGCGCCTGGTATTCACTGCTCGCGAGGCGCAGACCTTGATCAACCCCGCAAACGCAGGCTGGCCTAGGCCAGGCGATTCCTGCAGGTCCGGCGCTGTTGAAACACAAGTCGCTCCCAAAACTTGGGCAAGCGCTGGGTTATAAAAACTGCCGTGACCGCCGGGGAGGTGTCGTGTCCGGATTAAATCTGGGCTTTTATTTCATTCACCTGGGGTGGGTTGTTTCCCACAAAAGAAATCTGCGCAGAAAGATCTTGCAGGGAGAAGGAGCTTTAACCCATCCCGGCTTCCCCGCACCAGGGCTGGTGACAGCCAAGGGAAGCGTTAGAGCTGTACCTGTTACAGAATCACTTGGAGGAAAGTTTTACGTCGAATAAGAAATAGTGAACAAAGCCAGGGACCCGAGAGGGAGGGGGAGAAATGGAAGATTTATAATGAGCGATGGTGAACTTAACATTAACTTTGCGGTTCCCCAAACTCTCCTGGGCTGAGCACTTCCAATCTGCTTCACTGAACACTCTTTTTTTTTGTGTATCCTCTGCTGGCTCTAGACCCGCCCCTGCCTCCGACTGGGATACCTATATAGTTATATAATAGATGTACAGAGATCGATATAAAATGTGTAAAGCTGCTTTCTTCGCCGCCACCACTTCCCCTCCTCTGTATATCAGCAGTTTAAATGGCACCCTGCATCCGTCCCGCCACTCGACATTGACTAGCCCTCGTATATTACAATGATCTGGGCATTGGACTGGGCCTTTCACCCCCTTTTTTACACCTGGAAGCTCAACGTTGTAAGCTACTAAACTTTCTTTTTTTTTTTTTTTTCAATTTTTGAACTTGTATAAAAAGCTGTTTCCTCAAGGTGGCTGCCCTGAGTGTACCTGGCTTTTAGGGATTAGGCAAAAGGGTTTCCACTGTTCATCCAAACCGCAGTCTTATATTTCTGCGGCCTCCGGCTGCCTGACTGAGTGCAACCTAAATCAATCTGACTCTCTCCCTCCACAATCAGGGGCACGTACCCGCTTTCCTTCCTCTGTGCTCGCGCCTAATGAAGTGACTTGTGACGAGCCCTGACAATAAGAGCAGGTAGATTTGCAATTTGCCCGTAAAAAGATAAGAGAGCCCTCGCCCCGTCGGCCAGCCGGCTCTGACAACGGGGAGGTTGAAGGGTTAGAACAACCGGCCCAAAGTGATGTGCCCTTTCTCCTTTCGGGTCAGGCAGCCCGGGTTTGTGCTTGGGTGTGGGTCTGTGTTTACAGGCACTTGCCTTTGTTTATACCACTTGGAAAGAAGAGTCTCCCGTTTTGTTTTTCTTTTCCTTGCCTGCTGGCTTCCCGGGTGATGATGAAGTGGCAGATCTCCCCTTTTCTCTCCCGCCCCTTCTACTCCCTGTGTGTTATCGCTGTTACCCTCGTCTGAGCGGATCCAGTGGTGCCTTTAACCTGGGAGACCCAGCAACGTACTTGCTGTCAGGAGTTCAGTCTGGAGAGGGAATCACTGAAGGTGTTTTATCTTTTTCTGTCTCGGAGGGGCTATGTGTTTGGTAGCCAGGTTCATTGCTTGACTGTGTATTACTTACGCACACGCGGCTCCTTTAGCAAGCTGGCCTTGTAACAATCCTGCTCCATTACGCGCTGTTCCAACTCTTTAAAAATGGCATTTCTGCTTCGTGCTCTACCTGCTTTCTTGCCCAGAAGAGCAGCCCCCGGCTGGGCCTGCGGTCTGTCTGAACCCCGGATCAGCGTGCTGTTGGGAACAGAGCTGCCTTTGCAATTGTCCTCCAAGCTGATCAATTGCCTCCCCCACCCCTTGGAAACGTATTCGCTGGACCCGCTAAGAGGTCTCTATTTTAATTGCTCCATAATGAGGATGTTGCCATTTTCTCAGGAGCAATCACTCCTGGAGCTAAATCAGGAGAGCCCTAGACAGGCCGGAGCCGACAAAAATGTAGGTTTTGACGTTAAAAGCTAAATGGGGAAGCGAGGCGGTAGAAGGTAAATTGATGGGAGCTTGGGATGTCAGGGCCCTGGCCCCTGATCGCCGAGTGGAGCGGTGGGTCTGATAACAGCCTGATCGCTGAACCAGGCGCTCTTTCCCAGTCCCGCGGCAGCTATCTGGGGAAAGACTTTTAAATGAAACTGTATCTTGGTTCTTAAGGTCATTACTAAACATATTTGCCGCCTCATATATTCCGCGTCTGCCCTCCTTGATAACTACTCAGTGACACGGACTTTGCAGTGATATCAAGGCACTTAGGAGCAGATAGCGCAGAGAAAATGGCAAGGGGAACCCTGCCAGAAGCTAGTTAAGGACTGCTTCAAGCTCTCCATGTTCTGCTGCAGGTAATAAGGAAGCGAAACCGGACTGAATGGAAGAAGCGCAGAGGTGTGAAGCAAATCGGTGTAATTGGGAGTGCTCTAGAAATCTGCGTGTTTTTAAAAAAGGGGGGGGGGGTTGTTGCGAGATAAATGAAAGCAGAGCTTGTCTAAGTTACTATGGAAATGTGAGTGTGCTTTTTGCCTTAAAAAAATACCTTTTTTTTTTTTTTAGTTCTCTTTTAAAAGGGGAGCGGGGGACCCTACTTCAGTGTTGTCCCCATTTACGTATGGCTCCATTCCAGAAACTCTCACCGGTCTGAATAATCTTTACTCCCCACCGTAGGCTCATGGAGGGCAGCGGGTCTACTGGGAGTGAAGAAAGTAGAAGATGCACGGGGTAACGTGAAAATAGTGTGGCGCTCAGGTGTTTGAATTCAAATGCAAACAACAAGACCTAAAGTGGGAGACGGAAGGAGTCGCTGGAAGTGGCTGTTGTGGGGGGAGATCCTGTACACTCCGGATTTAGCATTCCCTATTTCAGTGAAGTCGAAAGCAAACTGTCCCCGACTTTCTTGGAGTGGGATCGGGCCCTCGCCTGGCTATAACTCGCAGCAGGATTCGTCCTGGAGCTTTTTTTCTGGTAGGTAAGATCAGAACAGGAGTGTACAGCAGAAAGCCAGCTTTGATTTTTCTTATTGAAAAGCATCCCATGCTTCAGAAGGATGCTGGATCGAAACAGCAGGGCAGCCTGTGGCTGGTTAAGCTGTGCAGATGGAAACAGCATAAATAAATAGTCGTCACTATTTGCCCACAGTGACTCAGGGCCCACCATGAAACACGACATGGATTTGGTTCAGAGAGTGGTTTTGTTTTGTGTTGAGGTTTTTTTTCCTTGAAAGTCGCTCTTCGGAAAGACTTTTTGCCTCTTCCAAGACGTCTGCACAAGGGCGGGTGTTGAGGCCCGTCTTGATCCGCTTGCCATCGGGTTGGCTGCTGTAAGCACGCGGTAGTCGCTGTAACCGCGCTGCTGCTGGGCGGTTCAAAGCCACCTCGTCCCGGCCGCCTGTGCCCTGACCCTAGCAAGGGACTCCGGGGGGAGGCTGCAGCCTGGGCACAGGTTCTTCCTCCAGCCCCGCCTGCCGCTCCTGCTGCTTATACGAGCCCCGTTGCATCCGAAACAAGTGGGGGGTTGCTTATTTTTCCCGGAGGAAAAGATGAGTAAGCGATTCTCTCTGTCTCCCCCCCCCCACCATTAACTTTACAGGCTCCCTCCTAGGAGTAGATAGTTATCGCTAATTTGTTATCATTGTCCAAGATCGGCCAAAGGGTTTTTTCCATGGTAGCTGTAGGTGACTAAACAGGGTTTCAAATAAGAAAGGCACGATCAGTGCGATGACACTGCATCCACTTGAGGTTAGTGGTTGGGAAACCTGTCTTTAGCGTCCGGAAACATATATTTTTAACTGTTTCCTCTCCCCCCCCCCCAAAAGAAACATATATGGTTCATTTAGTGATGGAAAGGAAACGAATTCCACATTTTTGCAAATGATAATTAGGATTTATCTTTTTCCCCCTTTTTTATTTTGGGCAGGCTATGAAATATGTGCCCCTTCAAAAAGAGCTCCAATCTTTTCTATTTCTAATTGGCCAATTACTGTTCAGCTGTTTCAGCTTGCACAGTATAATCGAGATTAAAGCGCGGTTGTTATCTGAATTATATACCCACATAAATTCTAGAAAGCCTTTGCACTGGAGAAGCCGGCTGCTTTCTGGGAAGTCCTCGTTGGCCCCAAACACCGGCTGACGTTCCCCCCCCCCCCCCCCTTTTTTTCCC